ATGGGATAGAATGGGATATAATAATCAATATGGAGCCATGCAATTTTATGACTGTCCATATATTGGGAATTTCATCATCCCAACTGACGAACTCATATTTTTCAGAGGGGTAGGGCTCAACCACCAACCAGTATTGTTGGGTGAACAGTTTACCAAATGACCATGTGTTATCTTGTCATATCTTGTCCAGCATTTTCACCCGGTTTGCGCGGTTTGGTTTGTACCTAGCATGTGCGTTTTCCTTGAGCACGTACACTTTGTGCGGTTGTGCGGACTTCAGCGTAAAAGTACATTTAAAAAAACAAAACTATATTTAAGCCATTGAGCCACCTTTGACGCTTCAATCCGCATCCCACCTTGAGAATTGTTTTTTAAACACGTTACATGTGGATTTTCCATCGACAAACTCCCATTCAATCCCGCAGGTGGCAGCCGCGGAGCCTGCAACAGACACGGCCACACCCTTCGCTGCGACCCAGGTGGAGCTATGGTGAAATTTCATGACATTTGATGGGCCGGGGATAGTTCAGGTGATATAACCAACAATTGTGGAATACCAATATATATATATACATATATATATATAATAGATATATATATATATATATGTGTGTGTATATAAATATATTTACATATGTGTATAGATATATGTATAAGATATATATATAATTATATATATATGTGTGTGGGGTAAAGCTCACAAGTATCGTGGGTATCCCGTTCATTACAATGGAAAGATGTGTTGGGTAGATCATGGGGCGTGAGCATTGATGAATATTTCCCAGCAAACTGTAGCAACCCGCAAAATTGATGGAACGATTTTAATTGTGTATGGTGTTATTTGAATAGGATTTGCCGATATCTATTGTTTCAGGGGATGCCTATGGTTGGGAAAATGTTCAGTTTTCACTCTTTATAGAAGACCATAAAATGAATTGGAACTGTTTCAATAGCAACTATTTCCATGAAAGCATGAAACAAATAGCATCAATCGGTTTTTCAAAAACCTACGAAGATTGTCCGAAAGCCTTTGAGTCCATTCAGTGCATGATTTTCTCATAAATCGAAGCAGAAAGAAATGTTGAGATTATAGCTCAATGTGTGAAACTAATCATGTGAGTGTGGTAAAAGGGATTTTCATAGGATTTTACTGGTGTTTTAAAGGGATTTCAAGCACGATGAAAATCATCGTCAGGCGCCTTCTCCAGCAGGCAGGGTTTCTGTTTGGAGGACCTGGGGATGAGATTACCATTGCGGGATGTAGTGGTTTTCATGGGAAATCCACTGTGAATGTGAAAAAAGGAATGTTTTAAGGGATACAGATGGATATAGTGTTTTATTTAAGCAATAATATATGATATGGCTAGATGGCATGATGTCTGGCCATGTTGGGCTTCGATGTCATCCAGTCGCAAAGTCATGGACGGGTGTTGCACTGGCCAAGTCACTGGGATGCAACATGATTTGGGAAAAGCTGTGCTTCAAGTTGTCAAGGGAAACCACATAAACTAGTGGTTAAACAAATTAGTCAATAACATGATTTATGGGGTATACCAGTGAAATATAATTTTCTTTAACCACACAACCATGATTTCAATGCGATAAACCCAATGAGTCTGAATAAAGAAGCCAATGAGGTCACCATGACTGTGGTAACTGTCACCCAACGTTTCAGGCCCAAATCGCAGCGTGATTTCGCCGATGTCGCCGTTTGAGGTGCAGATGTTCGAGCTGCCGGGGGATGGTCATATCTTGGGGTTTTCGTAAATGGAGGTACCCCCAGATGCATGGTTTATTTCATGGAAAATCCCAATCTTAAATTTCATGATAACTGGGGCTACCCCCATTCAGGAAATCACCATTTAAGTATATATGTCGGGATGACCATAATGATTACCATTACATCAACAAGATATACCATTTATAGTTGTTGATATCCATCAATAGTGATTAATATGTGTGTTTTCTAGTGATTAATGGGATTCATATGGATATACCCTCTGCTAAACTAATATAACTATGGAACATCACCATGTTTAATGGGTAAATCAACGAACTAAACGAGCATTTTCAATAGCAAACTGTTAGTTCACCAGAGGGCATATGGTGGTCTGAAAAAATCAAAGACCCCCATAGCTGGATGGTTTATTACTGCTCATTTCATGGGAAATCCTGTGAAAATGGATGATCACTGCGGAAAAAAACCCACTAGTTTGGGATGATCATTCGATGAAAATCCGTAAACCAAAAAAGGTTGGTTTGGGAATCATCAAAAGCATACCCTCTGGTAAACTAACCTAGCTATTGAGAATGGCCATTTGTAGTGGACGCTTCCATTAAAAATTGTGATTTTCCATAGCTATGTTAGTTTACCAGAGGGTATTCTATTTAACCAATCATACATTCTACGCATGATCATAATCATAGTTGGTTTAAACATGATCTTGTTGTTGCCATCTATGATCATCGCTGTTTGACCAACCATCTTCAACCACAATCATTAGTCCCAACATTTTCCAAGATAATCATGATGCGTGAGCATTTATGGCTATTTCACCAACAGCGGAAGATTCACCCGCGCTAAAACTGCACAGTCCTTGGTTTCATCCCACGACTTCGGGCTAAAACTGGGCCATGTTTGCAGAGAGATTTCTGATGAACATAGAAAGAAGGAAAAATGCTGATGAACATAGATTTCTGGTTTAAAATTTGAAAACCACCATAGAAATGCTGGAAAAATGCTGCAAAGTACCATCATTGATGAACTTCTCGTCTCCGAAAAAACGATGTATTCAGGTCGATCAGCCATTCCGTCACTGGAATGATGCTGGACGTGTAAAAATGTCAGGTGATCCCGATTCCAAAAACCCTCACCATTTGTGAGAGCTATCTCCTAGCTTCAAAGAGACCCATCTCCATATTCAAGTTGGCTCTTTTTGTCCCACTGATAGCCCAATATCTCTCCATTCAAAAAAAGCATTGTGCACCTATTTTTGTTGGCGAAACACCCAAGAGGATTTCTGTTTGAAAGAAAGGTTAATAATTCCCATTATATCCCATATTTTATTCGAGATTATATCCCATGTTTTATTCCATATGATCTCCACATAAAATGACAATGTTTTTTGTTGGTTTACCATAGCCTTTACGTCCTGAACCACTAGCGACCAGGCGTCGTCGGAGTCGACGACCACGCAATACAGCAGGACTCCGCGGTTCCGCGCGGCGAGAGTTGGGGCACGGACGGATGGTTGGATTCTAGTCATTCCTACAATAGGAAATGGGATAATATGGTCCATATCATCATATCATAATATGGAATAATAGGAGATGGGATAACATCATAATAGGATATTCCTACAATAATATGGGATAATATGGATGAATATCTTATTATAATATTTATCCCCTACATGGAGCCCCAGTCAATAGCGTTCAGCTGCCTTCTAAGTGGCTGAATTCTATGGTTTCTGGTAGGTATGTCACGAACTAGTTAATGGGCTGACCATAAACCAACGACCGTAACTGGGGGGCACCATCCTGTAGTCATCCCATAAATATCCATGATATTTCAACTATTATTCCATATAGTTTGTAGGATATCAATATGGGATAATATGGAACAATCATTGGGATCATTGTTGGAAATCCATGGGATATGGGAAATTCTATACTATTTAAACCCAAACCATCCAGGTTTATAAAGGGATGCCCCCATGAAATGGGATGGTTTACTCTTGGGCAAAAGTGCTACGCCCATCCGAAATTGCTGGTGATATCCCATGTATCAGGAGTTGGTATCGTTACTACAAAGTTGGGGATATGGTTGGTGCTTTGCTACAATCTTAGTAGATATCCAAAGCTGGTCTGTTTTTTAGGGATGTCAATTTATTGATTTTGGGCAAAATCGCAAAATCATGTCGTACAGAGTTCCTCAGCTCCGTCAATAGTCATGGGGGTAGCCCAATAGCTGGAGGGTTTATTTCATGGAACATCCATCTATAAAAGGATGATAAATGGGGTACCCCATGACTTAGGAAACCAAGGAAACTTCAAAATATGGGGATCAAATCCATAACCCCAGCTATTTGGATGTTGGAGTGGCTTTTGACCCATAGCCATAGATCCTTTTTCTAGAGTCCATCATCCCTGCCATGGATTGTCCAATTCACTGACTTCCTCGGCAGTTAACCAATTGGTTGTGTCATCCGCGGAAGAAGCCCAGGCTTCGGAATTCATCGCTGTAAAATGCGGATCCTGAATTTCACAGAGGCAGTGATCCTTCTGACGAAAAATATTTGGGCATGAAAAAATCATGCGCAAGATATAAAAAAGACATTCCTTTTGGTCATTGGTAACATGGTAGAGTATATTACACATATGAAAATTGGAATGTGAATGGGAAATATCCGGTTTCTCGGATGGGATTGGATAGATCACATATCAATGGGATATATCCCATCACAGATCATATTTCCCATATGATTCCAATAATATCACATCCCAATCCCATATCACAATCATATATTGAGATATGATTGGGATATGTGATCTCAATGGGATATATCATGATATATCCCAATTTTATATCTTATATATTCCATCACACCATGGGAAACCCATGGTTTTTCTCGGTCCACCTTTCGTTCGGTACCTCCGTGCAAAAACTTCACCATCGCCCCTTCACCAACTTCACGATTTTTCAAGGCCGGGCCGTGGCTCATGGGATAAACTGTTCACCCCCGTTTCCATGTTATTTATATATTCAATGAGATAAACAAACAAATCCCCATGGTTTTTCATCTGTTCCCAAGAATTTGCCACGGCTAGATCGGCCAAAAAAAAGATCCTAATCGCTTCGACTTCGATGCATGCCATGGCTTGCAGCTGATCATGATCCCAATGATCTTCAGATTCTTTAAAAAGTATGGGAAAATGTGAAGAAAAATCTGGCACCAATCCCGGATCTTAGGGATTTGAAAAACTTGCGATGTTTTTTTTCTCCCATTTTCGTGTCCTAATGGCTGAGTTGGCCACTTTTCCAGCCATGGAGTCTTCATATGAGCTGCTCGAATCGCTTCGAATCCAGCTACCCGACTATGAGATCTGCAGGGTCTCGGACACGAAGATGACATTGCTCGCGGGCGTTCCACTGGATTTTTTGATGTATCTGGATGGATGGTTGGAATCAGGTTTGGGTTACCATAGATTTTCTATCCATCAAATTGGATTTTGAGCCTTTTGGGGGGACATTTATGGGTTTTAGCCATCTATTTTTTCAGCATTTATCCGACTCTATCCCCCGAAACAAGTGACTTAAATGTTTGGGGGATCAACATGGAGCAAACAAAAACCAGCAAGGTATCATTGCAAATGGTGCTGTGGTGTGTACTTTGCTTTCCATCTCACCTTTCAGACGGACAGCACCATTCTGGAAGATCACATCGATACCAAGTACGACTCCTGGCTGTGATTAATCATTGGATGGGTTTGTTTGGGAACATCTTCACCGGAAACCATGGTCTTTGCACATGAAATCTGAGGGGATGTCCTGTAAATTGCCCATGTCTTCACCAATCCATTGATTCAAGGTGATTTCTTCATTTTCCCATTGGGAAACCCCCATTCGAAATGGAGAATCCATTCCGGAAATATCATATCTTGACTATTCTTTCTCAAGTGCCGTTTCCCGCTCTCCATCAGGACTGCAAGGTGCATGAACGGGAGTGCAACGAGCAGAGAGAGCGCGTGAAAGCGAAGGTGAAAACTGGCATTTCCCTTCATCTGGCCATCAAAAATGAAAAATCTCCATCCCATGGTCCCATGACCATTGGGAAGGCCGAACAGCTGATGAGCTATGAGATCTCCTTCACCAAAAATGGACCACTGGGCCTCTCGTTAAACGAAGAACCTGGCAGGATGAAGGTGCTGAAGGTGAAGCCAGAGGACAACATCAACATGGCCGAAAAAACCCTCCGAAACAATGCAGGTTGAATGGTAGTTTCAATGTGGTTTCGATGTGGTTTCAATATGGTTTCATAGGGATGTGCTGGTGGATGAACATTCACAAATCCCACTGGTGGGGATACTTGCTGATTCACTCGCAGTGGATTTTTCACCTATTTCTGGGAGCCACCAACACCCCCAGTGATGATACCAACAACTATTAATCATTAATAACTGGTTGGTGGTTTGGAACCATGGAATTTGATGACTTCCCATATATTGGGAATTTCATATATACTCCCAACTGATTCATATTTTTTTCAGAGGGGTGGCAACCACCAACCAGATAATCATGGGATGGAAGCCCAAAAATAAGTCCGACCTTGTCCCCAGATATCATGATCTGCACCATTCTGAAACGGCAGCGCTCGTCCAATATTTGGGAGGAGGATCCCCAATGAGGATTTTTCAGCGATGTTCCAGCCATGGCGGGAACCCAAAAAAATCCCAAAATGTGACCGAGCTCCATTTATAGGCCAGGGGGAGTTCCCCATTTTCTGACCTGGTTTTCGGGAGTATCCAATCCACCATTTTTTGGGGGTCATCTCCATAAACAGCACGCAGGTACTTTCCAGCCATGGCTTCCCTGGACACGATGTATGGATGATGTTCCTATGAAAACCTCCATTTACAGATGAATTTCCCAGCTATAAATCTCCATTTGTAGATGATGATTTCTATAAAAACCTCAACAAAGCGGGGATTTTCCAGCCAGCCATTCTAAACGCTAGGAGTTCTTTGAGAATTTCAACCGTCTACATCCGCAGTCAGCTGTGAACGAGGGCGACTACCTGTTGGAAGTCCAAGGTGAAACACCTTCCTTCGACCAAATACATGGAAGCTTCGACATCAAAGAAGGTGTGGGTACGTACTGACATGGAAATGGTGGGATAACCCATGAGTCATATGAGATAAAACTCAATGACATGGTGGGATATATCCTAAATAGGATTACTAAAAAACTGCTGGGATATTTCGGAATGAGATCACTATTCAATGACCGAACTCTTCAGGTCGGTGATGTTTCTTTTTGTTGAGGTATTCAATGTTGAATTTCTGGGGAGATGGCATGGGATTCTCCCATCGCTTTGGGATCAGATCACCGGTTTTCGACTGTAGGTGTCCTGTCAGAAAATAAATCCGTTGATTCGGTTGCGCCATAGACTGGATGATTTTGATCGCGATCTGACAGTCAAACATGCCAGTTCAAGATCTTCCATTTACAGATTTGTTTCACATTGAAACTTCCATTGGGTGCAGGGATTTTCCAGCTAGCCATGTTTGACTATGACAGGTACGTCTTGCCATCCTGTCATAGACCTTTGGGTGCAGTAAAGACTACCCTCTGGTAATTCAACATAGCTATTGAAAATGCCATTTACGGTGAGTTTTCCCATGAAAAATTGTGATTTTCCATAGTTATGTAAACGTTTACCAGAGGGTACCTTCCTCCAACCAAGGACTCAAAGACGGAGACAAGGTTCGAGTCAAAATTGCCACCCCACGAGTTCCGCAGCCTCACCAGCACACCATGGGGGATGTTTGACTCCATGGGGATGGGTCCAACTTGGAGGCGACAATGAATTGGATATCGGAGATACCACAAGAGTAAGAAGAATAAGATAACAATAAGAATTATCAGCAGAATGATCATGATTGTGATAAGGATGATTATTATTATCAACATTAACAATAACAATAGTAATAATGATAATAGTCATATGTTGATTTCTATCAACAATAGTATAATAATAAGAAGAAGAATAATAGTATAATAACAATCATTATTAAGAATAGTATATTACGTTCATATCGGTCCAGGGGATCACCCTCAACGGAGACTTTCCATTCGACCCATCCGCGCGACCGGTTCCCGGTTCAAAGGCAGCCGGGCAGCCGGGCCAACCGGGCCAATCTCTCCAATCCGCTGCGAAAAGTCGCTGGCTGTGACTAAAAACCGGGTGGTCCCATGAAATACCATGGAAAATCCATTATAAATGGAGGTTTATAGCTGGGAAAATCATCTATAAATGGGTCAATTACCTTCTGGTAATTTAATAGTTTGCTATTGAAAATGGCCATAAAAATAGTTGATTTGCCCATTAATAGCATGGTGATTTTCCATAGTTTTGATTTACTTTTGTTAATGACAACATCAGGCAGTGCCTACTTGGGTTTTCCTTACACCAAGCCAATGTGACCAATGGCCGATTCGTTGCTTTCAAAACGGGTTTAGATATGCCAAGCCACAAGAAGCACCTCATCTGTGTCCGAAGACAACCCCAATGCAATAGTTTGAGCATGTCCGATTGGGCATGGCCCCGAACATCATTTTCCTATCTTGTGTGTTTTTTGGCGCGATTGATGTGTTCTTATTCATATGTGTTTTGGTGTGGAACATTGGAACATGCTGAACCACATGTCATTGTCCAACAAAGAAAAGACCACAGTGAAACCTCAAAATATACACGGCCGTTTCCAGGTTTTTCCTGCGAACCCAAAAACTTGTGGAGCGCAGTGTGGTGAAATCGAAAACACATGATTTCTACATATTCGGTGTGTCTACTTGACTGAACCACATATAGACCGAAGTTTGGGCATTGTGTTTTCAGCCACCATGGCAGGGGTACAAGTGTGGATAGAGCCAACTGCAACAGTTCTCCTCCAGAATTCATCCTACATTTGAGCAGTGCCAAAATCTTATTCGCTTGGAATGGTTGGGGGATTCCCAGTTCATGGATTATGAAAGTTATGATAATTCCAAATATATTGGGTAGTAGAAGCCTTGCTTTGATCAGGTTTCACTCCTGTGAGCCGGGTGTAAAGCACCAGTCACCATCCCACCATTTTGGCATCAGTCGCCACTACAAGGGACCTCATATCCCCAACGTTGTGGAATATGCTAACCCAAATCATACGTTGCTTTCATTCATCCCATGAAATATCCCATGAAATAGCCACAACATCTCCAAAATTCTATCGCCAAATATGTGAATTACTGGTTGGTGGTGTGGAACATTTGTTTATGACTTTCCATATATTGGGAATTTCATCATCCCAACTGACGAACTCATATTTTTCAAGATGCTTAAGTCACCACCAACCAGATTATGATTAACCATCATTAACCATGTATTAACCATTAATATTAACCATTATTAGCCATTATTAACCACAATGGTTTAGTGGATTCTAGTATAACCAATGGATTATAATCCATTAAACTCCATATAATCCATTATAACCCATTACAATGGAGTATAATGGATTATATCATATCCCATGGTTAAGCCGGACCTCCAGGAAGTACATCACCACGTCCCGCCGCACCATGACCATCCAAGTGACCGTCTGGGAGCCAACGATTTTCTTGGGGAAATGGAACTGGCCATCAGATGAAAGTACAACTTTATGTTGTTGTTGTTGCTGTTGTTGTTGCTGTTCTTAGACATTTACCGATGCATTATTAATGATAAATACATAAATACAAAAATGAACGCTATCAGTATGGGTCAAAACATGTCAAAACCAAAAAACAAGCCGGATTTTGACATGTGGGTATAGTTTGCAAAAAGCCGTGTCCTGCTGGAAGATCTTCCCCTCCCATGTTCCCTGGCGCTCATGGGGATGAACATGACATGCGACAGGTAGATGACTTCATACCTTCAAGGGAAATCTGGCTGGTGGTTTGGAACATGTTTTTTCCATAATATATGGGATAATCCTTCCCATTGACTAATATTTTTCAAGATCGTTAAAACACCAACCAGAAATTAACGCCCTTTTTTAATAGGGTTTTCCCTGAACATCATTTGGTTCATCATCCCAACAACATTCACAATCGGATTTGTAGGAAGTTTGGCCCAATCACCAAGGAATTCTGTTGTTTGTCCCCATTGATGGTGTGATGTTGTTACATCATATGTTCCTACCAACCACCGAGTAGTACTTTGACTTGTACCCAATTGAGAAAGTCTATACCGCAATTTAGGGTGATATCAATGTTCATCATATTGAGATTCATTTAGATTTTTCTGAAAATGAGGTATGCTCCGCAAATGGAAATTTCAATCGGAAAAATGATGATTCTCTGTTGGATGTTCT